GCCATTAGACCTGAGGTGTCTTGAAATGTTTCTAGAAAGCCCACTAAAATGCCCACTTCTCTGGGTGTCAGCCTTTTTGCTGCTGTCTCATGGCATGAGCTATGGTGCACAGAAATGGGGGTTCTCCTTTTGTTTTCATTTTATCCCCAAATGGCAGCTTTCCTTTCATTGTTTTATCTTCCTATTTCCTAAATAATTCCTCTTATTTTGTCTTTAGCACCGTTTCTGAAGGCCTGAGTCATTGCAAAAAGGATAGTCTCTCCCCTAACTGTCAAAGCTGTGGATGATTCCACAAAGACACAGTATTATTTAGCTATCAGAATTATGATAGGAAAGATCTTAGTATGTTCCTATACAAAGCATTTGGAAGATGACCTTGTTGTCCTAAAGAACTTGAAAATGGGGCTAGGATACAGACATTGACTGTCTTTCATGGTCATAAGCAGGTTCTTATAGCATTATTCCAAACTCTAGCTGTTTTAATGGTTTTCTGAGGATTGCAAGTCATAGTGTGTTTGACATACCTATCCATTTCTCTCATCTCCATTCTCAGTTTCTTCCCCACAAAATTTTGAATCGAAGCTTTTATGATGTTGGATAATCACAAAACTTATTTAGTAGAGATTAATTTGACCCTTATAGAAATGAGAGAAGTCCAAAGCCTCTTAGAAATTTTAACCTTGAAATTCTTTTCAATATGTCCCATTTTTTAGGTGGGAGCGGCAGGTTTTTGTTTTTTTTTTAGTAAGTAAATGAAAGTCATTTTTACTACAATAAAAATTTAAAACTAGGCCTTTTGACATTGTGTGCTTGATGGTTCTGTCCCTCGGCCTGTGACAAATTTCATTTTTGTTATGAGAACTGTGTAAAGAAGTAAATCTGCCTCAGTTCTGTATGATTTAATTCCATCTGTGTTTGTCATCTCTGATTGGAAGATTTCTTACTTCCAGACCTTGTTTAATATGGAGGAAAAACAATTGAATTGTCTCATAAGTCTGCCAATAAACTGTCCAGAAACTTCAGGTGTAATAGTCCCCAATATATTCATTTTATGTTTTGTATAAACACTAACATTTCCCTTTCTGAAGTTGTATGAAAAACAAATATTCTTGGCACAGTAGAGAAATTGTTATAAAACACCAGAGAGGGGAAAAAATCTGTATTTTTTAACTGAGAACAGCCAATACCCCACGTAAATGACTATATTGGGATTTAAATTGCATATTAAATCACAGAGTTGTTCATACCCTAGATTAATTCATATAAGAAAATATTGGTCATTCCTCATAAGCATAGCTGTTGATATGTGTCCAATTATTTGCTTTTGAAAATTATAATTATGTAAAATTACTTTTTTTTTTCCAGAAGGGAAAAAAAAAAATCAAACACAGAGAAACAACTAAGTTATCCTTTTCTGGTTTTTTTTTTTTTTTTTTTTTTTTTTTTTAACCATTTTTGGGTTCCCTTGCAGAAACCACAGAAATATTCCTTTAGAATAAAATAGTATATTTGTATTTGATGGGTGAGTTACTCTTTTTCTTTATAATTTTCTTGAAATAATTTAAAATATTTTTTTTCTGTTTGACCATATTGGTATGACCAACAGATGGTATATAACAAAGAAAGCAGTTTTCATAAAATAAATTATTTGGTATTTACTCAGTCCAGTAAACATATTGTTTCATTACAGTCTTTTTGGTTGTTTTCTTTCTTGTATCAAAAAACTTGTTCCCATTTTTAGTTAATTTATTAACATATTCAAAACCCTGAAAGCTAGAAATATCAGGTATATTGTATATATTTCATTTCAGGCAAACTTTTTTGAGATTTACAAAGCTTGCATCCATTCAGTTTATTCAATTTTGAAATTGTGGAATTAGGATAAAGAATATATCCAATTTTAAGAATATTTACATATTTAATTTGGGAATGTGGGGCTAAATGGTATTTTCCTTAGATTTTAGAGCTATCTTTACAACTATACCTTCAACTCCATATAAACTTTCTATCAAACTGCCCTTGTAGCATTACTAATTTTGTAAAAAAGAACTTTTCTAAAAAGTCCAAAGTAAAATGAATTTTTGCTAATCAATCCCAGTTTTCTGTTAAATTCAGAATTTAATTTTCCATGTTGGAAAGGTTCCCTGTGGTACTGAGTTGAAATTTTAGGAAAGAATTAAGCAAGAATACCCCCAATTCTAATTGTCCATATCATCATATGTTACTATCATTGAAAAAATATAAGAGGTATTGTTTCAGAATGGAAGATCCAAGGTTTTGGATGCTAGTTTTTTTACTTACTGGTTGTATAGCTTGTAAATTATTTAACCTCCCTGTGCCTCAGTTTTTCTCACAAAGTGGAATAATAGTAATTTATCATTTATGCCTGGCTTTCAAATGTTAAGTAAAGATATATGTACCCCTATATTCATTGCAGCTTTATTCACCATAGCCAAGATACGGAAACAACCTAATTGTCTTTCAACGAACAATTAAAGCTGTGATCCATATATACAATGGAGTACCACTCAGCCATATAAAAGTAGAATGTGTTACCTTTTAAACAGAAGAAAATTATCCATTGCTACTCAGTGGAAAGCAGCAGGGAGGTGGGGAGGGGAGTACAGTAAGTAGAAATTGCGAAATAACAGCAGAAATAAGCTCTAAATTACAATGAATGTAAACATCTTAAATTTAACTGAAGACAGATTCTCACCCTTATTTTCCCATCTTTATTTACTTGCCCTTCTCTGCATAGAGACATTAGTGTTTGAGGAAGTAAGAGCATGGAGGAGGTGATGTGTGCCTGGAGCCGTGGAAGCCTGCTGTGAGAGGTGCCTCAGTGAAGCAGCGCAGCGTCAGAGCAAGTGAGGCAGTGAGTGGCTGGGATGGTTAGGAGACTGATCACATTGTGCAAATAAGTTAAATGATTGAGAAATAAGTATACATATATTGAGCATAATGGGAACCAGATTTCTCCCTGTTTGAGAAAGGATTTATGAACATGGAAAGGGAGAAGGCTAGGAAGAACCTTGAGATGTTGAATTGAAATTGGGAGAGTTGGTTTGACCTCATAGGTTTAGACAGATAGATATAGTTGTATATAGTGATAAGAGTATCTATATATAAATAAAAGGGTAAGTGACCATCTGACTGACTGACCGGCTGGTAGGTATGACATGCACTGACCACCAGGGGGCAAATGCTCAATGCAGGAGCTGCCGAGCTGCAGTGACTTGGCAATGATGGTTCTTGGGGAGAAGAAGGAGCCCAATTCCCCGTGGAGCCGGGCGATTCCACCTTCGGCCGTGGGTTATGTTGTTGCTGGGGCACTGCCAGCCCCGAATCTGTTTACTGCACACTGTGTTTGTGTTCCACGCAAGGTGTGACAGCAACTTTACAGAGTGCCCTCTCCCACTCGGACCCCTCCAGGGATGTTGGAGAGCCAGTTTTGGCCTGTTCCCCTCAGGCCAAGCTGAGGGACCCCACCTGCCGAAGGGATCCCACTCACTCTGCTGCTGTGCCACCCCAGTTGCAGCCAGCTGGGGAGGGATCATGGGGAGGTTGAATCCAGGGCATGTACGGCCCATCTTGCTCAGGCCCGTCTCCCCGAGTCCCGCCCCACCTGCCACCATCTAATTAATATCCTTTCAATGTGCGCAAATCTGTGCACCAGGTCACGAGTGTGTATATGTATTTTATGGATTGATTGATTGATTGATTGATTGATTGATTCTATCCGCTGACATGGTATAGAAACAGTTTTACCTTGGTAGCAATGAGCCATACCAAGAGCTGTTGCATGAGGGCTCAATGACTAGTTCTAAGACGGGGGAAAGAAAAGATAATCCTGGAATACCTTTTGAGTATGTAAATGCTTTAAAAAAAATTTTTAAAAATAGGGCCATGTCAGAAGGAAATTGGAGGCAGACAGAAAAGGCTTCCATTGGTTAAATCTAGGACAATTTGTGTATCAGAGTACAACCTAATGAATAAAATAGGAATTCATGGGTTAATTTTTATATAAATGAGTAAAAAATTTAAAAGACTGGATAAATTAAAAAAATCTAACAAGGGTAAAAGTGATGCAAAACTATTAGACAAATATTAAGAAATATCTGGGTTAGCAATATTCATAGTATTGGATAAAAAGGATTTAATGCAAAAGTGGATTACATACTGATAGAATTAATAAAAAATTATAAATATGGATGTTACTATACTTCATAAACAGCCTGAAAACTAACAAAATTTTTGGTAAAAGGGAAGATAGATAACCCTTAGAATAAAAAGGGAAATGAGAAAGCACCTACAATGGACTAATGAATGATAAAATTATTATGTCTGAATTTGGAAACATAGCTGAAACAGAACCAAGAGGGAAAAATTAGATTTAAAATCATTTTTCCTTTTCATGAAATCATTTTCAGGGAACAAAGATTATGAATGAATAAAGCAATCATTCAATTCAATAATTTAAAGAATGAACAACAGGGGGGAAAAGAAAATAATAATAAAATCAGAAAAAATGGAAAAGAAACTATCATATATGGCCTTTATTATGTTGAGGTACTTTCCTTCTATACCATTTTATTGAGTGTTTTTATCATAAGTGGATGTGGTATCTTTTCAAAAGCTTTTTTTTTTTTTTTTGCATCTGTTGATATGATCATAGAAGTTTTATTTTGTTAATGTGGTATGTCACATTGATTTGTGGATGATGAACCATCTTTGAATCCTTGGAATGAATCCCACTTGATCATGATTTATGACCCTTTTAATATATTGATTTGACTTGTTAGTATTTTATTTAGGATTTTTGCATCTTGTTCATCAGAGATATTGGCCTGTAACTTTTTTTTTTTTTGTATTGTATTGCTTGGTATTATTATCTGGGTAATGTTGGCCTTCTAAAATGAGTTGGGAAATGTTCCTCCTCTTGAGTTTTTTTTTGTTTGTTTTTTACAAGCCAGAAAGCCATTTTATTACTAAATAATATATTTCTAGCGGGTGCCGATGGTCACCTGCCACACGCGCACCAGGTTGTCTGTGTAGCCAGCAAAGAAAGTTTGGCCACCAGCAGACCAGGCCAGAGAGGTACACTGGGGTGGCTCTGCCTTGCTGCTGGTACTGGTAACTTCTTGCTTCAATTCATCAATGATCTTGCCTTCCAAGTCCCAGATCTTGATGCTGGGACCAGTGGCAGCGCAGAGCCAGCAGCAATTGGGCCTGAAACACAGGGCATTGAGGTCCCACAGCATGGCCTGGCCACCCTTGCCTCCAGAAGCGCAGAGGGATCCATCTGGAGAGACAGTCACAGTGTTCAGGTATCCTGTGTGGCCCATGTGACTGATTGGTCTTCAGCTTGCAGTTTGCCAGGTTCCATACCTTGACCAGCTTGTCCCAGCCACAAGACACGATGATGGGCGAGAAACGGACACAAGACACCCACTCTGAGTGGCTCTCATCCTGGATAGTATATTTGCATACACCCAGAGGATTCCATAACTTGATGGTTTTGTCTCGTGAGCCAGAGAAGGCCACACTCAGCACATCCTTGGTATGGTCCACGAATCGGCACATGGTGGTGCCCGTTGTGAGATCCCAGAGGCAAAGGGTTCCGTCCCAGGAGCCAGAGAGGGCAAACTGGCCATCTGAGGAGATGGCCACGTCACTAACGAAATGGGAGTGACCCCGAAGAGCACGCTGTGGGATGCTGTAGTTGGTCTCATCCCTGGTCAGCTTCCACATGATGATGGTCTTGTCTCTAGAGGCGGACAGTACCATGTCCGGGAACTGGGGAGTGGCAGCGATCTGGGTCACCCATCCATTGTGGCCCTCGAGGGTGCCACGAAGGGTCATCTGCTCAGTCACGGCGGTGGCGGGTGTGGGTGTCGCCGCAGCGACGAGGATGGACCTGGATACTTCAGAGAGAGCAGCAGCACCCTCTTGAGTATTTTTAGAAGAGGTTGAGGAAGGGTGGTAAAATTCACCAGCGTTTTGGGGGAGGTTTTGATTACTCTATTTCCTTACTATAGTGACTGGTCTACTTAGGTTTTACAGTTTCTTATGATTCAGCCTAGAAAGTTTGTATGCTTCTAAGAATTTGTCCATTTCTTCTAGGTTATCAAATTTGGTGCTATATAGACTTTCATAGTATTCTTGTATATTCCTTAGATTTCTGTGTTGTCGTAACTTCTCATTCTTTTATTTGATTTTATTTCATTAGTCTAGCCAGACGTGTCAAATTTGTTTATTGTTTATCTTTTCATAGAACCAGCTCTTGGTTTCATTAATTTTTCTCTATTGCCTTTTTAATCTCTATTTCATTTATTTCTACTTTAATATTTATTATTTCTTTCCTTCTGTCTGCTATTTTAGGAAACAGAGATTTAGAAAGTTCAGAAACTTGACCCAACTGAAAAACAGTAAGAAATGGTGGACCTTGAAAATGACTTCAGTTTTTCTCACTGTGCAGAATATAGTTAAACACTGCTACAATTAAATATTTTACCTTTGTTCTCCCTGGGTGATCTACAGTAATAATCTGCTTCATGTTGATATTTACTGCTGTGTTGCCAACAATTACCTGAAAGAGAAGTTGGGGTGCTTCACTGGGCTGGAAAAAGTTTAGCTAAATCAGAAAGCAGACGAGATTGGGCGCGTTCTAAAAGGCTAAGTTGACTCGCAAATGCGCGATACATATAAAGCTCTTGCTGGTGCCAATCGCATGTGTGTGTTTCAATCTGTCATTGTCAATACGAATTTGGTTGATACTTCTATTATAGAAACAGGGCGAATAGCAATATTAAAATATTTTTTATAATTTTCTTTTTTAAAAAAATATATATTTTATTGATTTTTTTACAGAGAGGAAGGGAGAGGGATAGAGAGTTAGAAACATTGATGAGAGAGAATCATCGATTAGTTGCCTCTTGCACATCCCCTACTGGGGATGTGCCCGCAACCAAGGTACATGCCCTTGACCGGAATCGAACCCGGGACCTTTCAGTCCGCAGGCCGACGCTCTATCCACTGAGCCAAACCGGTTTCAGCTAATTAATTTCCTTACAATGTGCATGAATCCATGCACTGGGACTCTAGATTACAGACAGTCCTTGGGGTAACGTCGGAGATCCGTTCCAATGGTGCAACGTAACTCGATTTTTTCTGTAAGTCGGAACCCACCTACATAAGCACCTATGTCACTCACATGGAGCCCATACACAGCAGTAATGAAGTGAAATGAAACAGTAAAAAAATTGTAAAAGAAAGATAATAGTCCCTAACCTTTACTTGGGTTAAATAAATAATAAAAAACATAAATCACATAGGTACATACCGTATTTTTCGGACCATAAGACGCACTTTTTCCCCCCCAGAAGTGGGGGGGAAAAGTCCCTGCGTCTTATGGTCCAAATATAGCCTACACATATATTGTACTTAAAAAAAAAGTTTTTTTACTTGCCCGGCTCTGTGTGGTCTCTGTGTGCTTGCCCGGCTCTAAAATGGTTCTAAATGCTGCTGTTTACTTTACAGGGTTGATTACATGTGTTTATGACTGTGATGTTGGGTTTTAATGCACATAAAATATTTTAGGACACTATTTGTTTCAGAATCTTTTTTTCTTCATTTCCCTTCTCTAAAAACTGGTGCGTCTTATGGTCCGGAGCGTCTTATGGTCCGAAAAATACGGTATATCGAAATGACAACTATTTTTTTTTTTAATACTATAAAAGGGAAATGGCGACGTAACTACAAAACAATGTACGTACAGTATTTTCCGGCGTATAAGACGACCTTTGAAACGAAAAAAGTCATCCGAAAATCGAGGGTCGTCTTATACGCCGAGTATATCCCGAAAATAGGCAAATATAGGCCTAAACCTATGTTTTAACTGTAAAATTAGGAATAGTCTTATATGCCCAGTCGTTTTATATGCCGGAAAATACGGTAAGTGGAGTCCGACGTAACTTGAGGACTGTCTGTACATATAAACTTTCCTCTTAATACTACTTTTGCTGTGTCCCAAAACTTTTGGTATGATGTATTTTCATTTGTCTCTGTGTATCTATAGTTAGTTGTTCAGTAGCATCTTTAATCTCCACATAAGCAGGCATACCAGTTAATAATGCGGATATTTTTCACTAGATGGATTTACACATATGTTGATATGTGTGTGATTTGATATGTATGCTATTTTGTTGTATTGACAGCAAGCTTCAAAACTTCATATGTAAAATTTGCTGAAGGTATTAACATCATAGATATTTTTACGCTTAAAAATGTTAAATTTTGCCGAAACCGATTTGGCTCAGTGGATAGAGCGTCGGCCTGCGGACTGAAGGGTCCCAGGTTCGATTCCGGTCAAGGGCATGTACATTGGTTGCGGGCACATCCCCGGTGGGGGGTGTGCAGGAGGCAGCTGGTCGATGATTCTCTCTCATCAACGTTTCTAGCTCTGTATCCCTCTTCCTTCCTCTCTGTAGAAAATCAATAAAATATATATATTTTAAAAAACGTTAAATTTTATGCCAAAAAAACAAACAAACAAGCATTTGTGGGAAGTTTTAATTCATTACTTACTTTGAAGAAAAAGTTATACTTTGGGAAGTTTATGGTGAACATGCTCCATCTCAAGATACTTGTGAACACTGGTTAAATGCTTTAAAAGTGATGATTTCGATGTGAAAGATAAAGAATGGTCAACCGAAAAAGTTGGAAGACCAACAGTTACAAGCATTATGTGTATTCTGTCGTTTTAGGAGGGCATGTTGTAGAATATCAACTAAGACTATTTGGTCTCATGTGCCACTTAATGCTATTTCCTTATTGACTTTTTGTCAGGGTAATCTCTCATTGCTGTCAATGGGGTATTAAGGTCCTCTGCTGGAATTGTAGTTTTGTCTGTTTTTTCTTTCTTTTAGGTCTGCTGATTATTCTATGTATTTTGGTGTTCTCATCAGGTTGGGTTCAAATATACATTTGTTATGTCTTCTTGATGAGTTGTCCCCTTTAACATTATAAAATAGCCATCTTTGTCTCTTAACTTTTTTATCTTGAAATATTTTGTTCGATTTAAAGTACTGCTACACCTACTTTTCTGTGGATGCCATTTGCTTGAAGTCTCATCTTCCATCCCTTCACTTTGAGCCTATGTTTGTCTTTCTAGTGGTCCCTCACAGGCAACATTATAGTTGGGATTTGTGTTTTAACCTGTCCCACTATTCTATGCCTTTTGATTGATATTTTGTTCATTTACATTTAGGAAATTATTGATGTAATTACTATAGATAATTTATATTTTCTTGCTACTTTTGTATCTCTTCCCCCCCCCCCTTGTGATTCTGTCTATTTTATTTTTTTATTTTTTTAAAATATATTTTATTGATTTTGTACAGAGGGGAAGGGAGAGAGATAGAAAGCTAGAAACATCGATGAGAGGCATCGATCAGCTGCCTCTTGCACACCCCCTACTGGGGATATGCCCGCAACCAAGGTACATGCCCTTGACCGGAATCGAACCCGGGACCCTTCAGTCCCCAAGCCGACGCTCTCTCCATTGAGCCAAACCGGTCTCGGCTCTGTCTGCTATTTTAATTTGGTGGTTTTCTATGTTTTTTCTCTCCATTTCCTCTTTATGCTTGGAATCTCAGCTCTGGATATTTGTTTTGTGGTTAGCATTAGGTTTATGTAAATGTTTCATACACATGGTAGTCCTTGATCTTCTGATTCAGTCCTATCTTCATTCACCTGTACCCACACAAGTCACTTTCCATTCCACTTTTATGACTTTGTGGTCACAAATTCTCCCTTTTTATGATATTACCACATTGCAGTAGCATTTCTTCACTGCCCCCCCCAATTAATCTTTGTTGTAACTGTTTAATATCATATTCTGAAGTAGATTTATAGTTTCCTTTCTGTTAGTCATCTTACTCAGTTTTGTATACCTTCGTCTTTTTGTTTCCAATAAAAGAGCTACTTTCAGCCCAAACCGGCTCAGGGGATAGAGCATCAGCCTGCGGACTGAAGGGTCCCAGGTTCGATTCCATTAAAGGGCATGTACATTGGTTGTGGGCACATCCCCGGTAGGGGGTGTGCAGGAGGAAGCCGATGGATGTTTCTCTCTCATCGATGTTTCTGGCTCTCTATTCCTCTCCCTTCCTCTTTGTAAAAAATCAATAATAGTAATATATATATATATATATATATATATATATATATATATATATATATATAATTTTTTTTTTAAGAGCTACTTTCAACAATCCTTGTAATGCAGGTCTAATGGTGATAAGTTCTCAGCTTTTGTCTGGGAAAGCCTTCTTTCTCCTTCATATCTGTAGACTAACTTGCTAGATACATTACCCTTGTTGATGGTTCTTTCAATATTTAGAATATTTCCTTCCATTATTCCTGTCTTATGTTCTATTATGAAATCTGATCATCTAATGGAGTTTCCTTTTTAGGTTAGTCTTTTTTTCTTCCTGGCTTCCTTGGGAATTCTTTGTCATTGATTTTTGAGTTTAAATAAAATGTGTCACGGAGAAGGTCTTTTTGCATTGATATAATTAGGTGTTATGTTCACTTCCTCTATTATAAAGTCCAGTTCTTTCCTTGGGGTTTGGAACAGTTCTCTTCAATTATTTGAGTAGGCTCTCTGTTCTTTTTTCTTCTGGTATACCTGTTATCCGTATATTGTTCTCTTTCTAATGTTGGATAGTTTTCTGAGAACTTTTTCTTTGTTGATCCCCACCCAAGGATATTTCTTCATTGGTTTTTAGAGTGGAAGAGAGAAAGGGAGGTGAACAAACATTGATGTGACAGACACACATTGTTGCTCCTGCACATGCCCCCATTAGGGCTGAGATCAAACCTGCAACCTAAGTATGTGCCCTTGACTGGGAATCAAACCTGAGACCCTTCAGCGCATGGGCTAATGCTCTCACCGGACACAGGCTAGGACATAAGAGTTCTTTCCTTTCAAACTCTCAGTTCGCTTCTCCCTCCTGGGTCATTTCTACAATAGATTGCCATTTTTGAGCTGTTTCTCTCTTCCATTTGATCTGCTCTATTTTCATTGCTCTTTAATGCATTCCTCAACTCATTTATTGAGTTCTTCAGCTCCAAAATTTGTTTGGTTCTTTTTATAGTTCCAGTCTCTTTAGTCAACTAGCTCATTGAACTGCCTTTCTGAGTTTTCTTGTATGTCATTGAAATTTCTTGATAGTTGCAATCTTGAATTCTGATATCTAAATCACCATCTTCCATGACTTTGAGTTTGGTTTCTGGACATTTAATTTTGTGTGCTCCCAAGTTACCTTGCTTGGTCATGTTATTTGATGCATTGCTCCTATAATATATCTGTGCATTTGAGGTAGTGAACTTTACTGTTTTGCTTTCAACAATTCAGCATGTTGAAAGGTAGGGTACTTTATTTTCCACTAGATGGTGGTATAGCACAAGTTTTTGTTTTCTTACCTGCAGTATTTGAGCCTCTATAATCATAGTAGAGTAGCAGTGCTTTTGTTAAGAAAAATGCCATATACCTACAAAAGTTAAGGGCCACCCCTAGGGATATGGTGGATGGTAGACAACTGATTTTCTGAGCTCCCAGAATCCCCTACTTTTCACTAATGGCTGCTATCACTGCTGGGTGTTTATTTTTTTTGGGGGGAGGGGGTATTGGGAGGGAAGGGTGTCTCAACTACCTCTACTGGGCTGTGCTGGGATGTGTGGGGCAGTGGAGGCAGGTTTGAAATTTCACGGTTCTACCCCCCGCCTGCAGTGGCTGTCAGTACTGCCATGCTGTGTAAGGCAGCATAATCCTGAGGCATCATTGACAACCCTAGTAATGTATTTGGGTTCAGGGAGACCTGTGTCAGAAGCGAGCCTAGACCCATAATCTTTTTATTTTTATTCTTTTTTTTTTTTGTTAATCCTCACCCAAGGAAATTTTTCCATTTAACTTGGCAAAGAATAAAGAGAGACATCGTTGAGAGAGAAACACATCGATCGGTTGCCTCCTGCATGCACCCTGAGCAGAGCCCGGGCGCTGAGGAGCCTGCAACCAACATACGTGCCCTTGACTGGAATCGAACCAGGGACTCTCTGGGACTGCAGGCCAACCTCCCTATCCACGGAACCAAACTGGTAGGTTTAGACCCATAATCTTAACATGAGGTTTTTAAAAATATATTTTTCTTTCTTTCATAACAATCCAAAGGCCATTCTGGTAGGGCAGCTCTCTTCCAGATGGTGGTTCAGGAAGAAGGTTCCCCCAGTGCGCCTCTGCTCTGGCAGCAGATAGGGGAAGGGAGTGGGCATCACAGAAAACTTTAAGGGCCAGGCCTGAAGACGGAATTCTCTGCTGCCCATATTGTGCAGAAGTCTGGAAATGTGGATGAGCTGTGTTCTGGGAAAGGACCTTGGTTTGGTGAACAGTTGATCTCTTCACCCAACTTCAGGGGCCTCTCCCTGCAGTGGTTCAGAAGTACTGGGCGTCTGGGTACTTTACCTTCTACCAGACCCAACTGGCTATTTCCCCCTAGTCCAGGACTTGGTATGGCTTCATAAATTACAGGAGGACTTAATAAAAGTTCAGTTAAATATTCAAAAGTCAAAACCTCCTGGTGTGGGTTCCAGGTATTAGTGTGGTTTAAAACGTGCTCAGGCGATTCTAATGGACAGTCAGCACAGGACCCACAGCTATTGTTGCCAGAATGTGATTAGCTTAGAAGTGAGAAGGGGTGAGGGAGGGTTAGGGTTAGACTAGGGAAAATTTGAATCTGCACTGAGAATTGGATGGAAAACTGTCTAAGACCTATCCTTTGCATGAGAGCTAACTACTTTGTTTTGTTGTGACAAAAAAAGCCTGATCAATACCCTTCAATGTCAAACCTCTTTCCAGCAGGAGGCACAACAGTAGACAGGCACAGCTCTAATGCTGGAAATACTGGAAACAAGGTAGCCACCACCAACCCCACCCCCAAACCGAAGGGTAATAGTTGGAAGGGGTTATAATCATGGTCTGGGCATAAAGAAAGAACGTACAGGCCCCTTAAACCAACCCACACAGATGCCACCAAAGTCAAGGGCCTCGTCCATGCTCCTGAAACTTTTCCAGGGACCGATGATCCAATTGCATGCACCTTTCCATCCTATTTTCAGAGAGTAACTCTCAGTGTATGTGATCCCCTCCTCAGCTCCTTCCACTTATCAGATGGGCCAAAGGGAAGTTGTAAGGACAAAGATCAGCCTCTCCCCAAGCAGGAAGGCCAAGGCTGCAGCCTTCCAACCCTAGGAGTTTTCTTTGAGTTTGCTTCCTGGTAAGTTTCCTCTGTGCGCAGTACCTAGTGGGATTCCAGAAATGCAAGGATGCCTTATGTTTGGGGTTCCTTGGCAACAGGCCCTGGGGTAAGGAGGAGCTGTGGGTATTGAATGAAGGACAGGAAACCGCCCTCCCTAAAAGCCAGGGCAGCTGGCCAGCAGGGGCAGGAGGGATGCATTCCTCCACCAGTCAGGCAGCTGTACAGGCACAACCCCAGCCCCACTGGCCAGTGTTGATGCCAGTCCCATGACTTCCCCGCTGGAGGCCATCACCTCTCAGGGATGCACCAGTGGCTGGACCTATGGTACAGGTCAGTGATAGAGCACAGTAGCAGTCGGTGGGCACAGGTACAATTAAATAGCATGTTTAATCATCTCACAACAGACAGTAGTATAAACTATAAGCTTCTCTTTAAAAAGTTCCCCCCTACCCCCCCAAAGCTCCCATTCCTCAATACCCAGACACCCATAGGAAGTCTCTCTTCCAAGGAGCTTAAAGTCTTTCCAAGTCAGGGTTGCGTTGTGAGTGACCACACACACACACACACACACACACACACACACACACTCACGACACAAAGAACACAGGACAATCGCACACATGCGCTTTCATGCCGTAACATTCCAGTCAGCTGTGGCTCTGCTCTCAGCCAGCTCTGGTCAGGAGATGGAGAGGCGATCTGTGTCCAGCCTCACTGCTCTGACACAATAGCCAGCTCTCCCTTACGCGTAGGCCAGACACCATGTCTGCACCACCAGCCCAGCATCTGTGGTGAGGAGAAGGGGTGCTACATCCTCCGGATCCAGTGATCCCAAAGAGAAGCCTTAGGGCAGGCTCTGGTAGACCGGTGGTGCTTGGTTCTGGACCCAGGCGTGGGGGGCACAGCCAGCCCTCACTGTGCAGATGCTCGGGGCGTGCAACACTGCCAACAGGGAGCTGGCTGTGTCCACCCTCAGAGCAGGGGAGGGGTTTGCAAAAACGGAGGCCCTGAGGTGAGGATGTGCGGGGGAAAGGAGGTAAGAGGTGAGGGGACTACCAGATGGTTAAAGAGGAAACCTCTTCATTCACAGCTTTGTTCAGGTTCCTGGAGAATGTCTCTGGATCCAGGTATCAGCAGCTCTGGTTGTGGATGATATGGAGGGAGGTGACCAGCGAATGCTGGCACAACAGCTGCCCACTGAAATGGGAGGTTTGAGAACCAGCCTGGCAATGCTCTGGACCCCAGCACTGCCAACCTCTACCCTGAGGAGACAGACCAGGTGGCTGGCTATAAGAGCTCCTCCCGGGGGCTCCTGGCCTTAAGTGGGGTCTGTCCGTTGGGCACGGAGCCATTCTGACCGTGCAGGAGTTTGCCCCTCTCTCTGTCTGGCCACGTGAAGATGGCATCATCGCTGTCCAGCTCCGACTCAGAATGCATCAGGCTGCTGCTCAGCATCGGGCCTTTCTGTTTGATGCCTGCAAGGGAGATAAGGGATTTCTGCATCAGGCGCACCAACCTTCCCAGCTTGAGCCACACCCTCCTCCCAGCCTGAAGAGCTGGGGACAGGGAGTCCTGGTCCCCTCTCCCTGCTGGGAGGGGCAGATGGGAAGAGGCGGCTTCCTGAGCCTTCCCAGTGCTGGCCAGCTGGAACAGCCCTACAAGGGAAGTCAGAGTATATGAGACCAACAGTTCCAATGCTGTAGGCCAGGCTGGCTAAGGTGGGTGCCTGCAAGGGAGGGATCTCCCTGCTGGTTGCCCCTGGTTGGCCCTGATCGCTGGCCAGGCAGAGGGACCCTATCTGTGCACAAACTTCGTGCACTGGGCCTCCGGTGCAGCAGTAAGAATGAACTATTGCTCTAATAATATGGGTGACTGTGATAAATAGAATGTTGAGTGAAAGGAGCCAAATACACTGATTTCATTTATATAAAACTCCCAAAAAATTAGAAGTAAGGGGAGGAGGGGACAGTGGCTGGGGGGAGAAGCACAAAGGAGGCACTCCTGGGGGGCTGATTACATGTGCCTGTTCAGTTGTGAAAACCCATTAAACTTTATAACTTACTTCTTAGAACTACAAAATGCCATTTTTTTTAGAAGCTAAGTAGTAATTTCACATGGTTCGACCTAATATACTTCAATAAAATGTTTTTTAAAAATTGATAGAACAGCATAACAAAATTCAAAAGAACAGCTGTTAAATGTGAATCCCATCTCTGGAGGGGGCCTGCCCCATGCTCCACCTGGCAGCCTTTGTCACCCCTCACCCAGGCTTACCCTGGCTCCCAGCAAACACTTCGATACAACATGTCTTCCTCCACAACAGCCCCCACTAACTCCCTTCTTCAAGCTGAACTTCACGTCCATACTTCGTACAATATAGTCTCGAGTCCCATTCCCTCATCCTACTTGTGACCCTGCTCTCGGCTGCCCCGCTAATCCAAGAGCCCAAAACAAGAGCCAGGGCTTGTGGCATGGCCAGCCATCCCAAATCCAAGGGCATTCTCACCACCCCCTTAGACGCTGCCCTTAAGAGAAGGGCCTGCTGAGCCTCGCCTAGTCTCAGTGTAGATACCGTATTTTCCGGCGTATAAGACGACCCCCTAATTTTACAGTTAAAACAGGTTTATGCCTATATTTGCTGTATAAGACTACCCCCCTCTTCCAGGGCAACACCAGTTCTCTTTTTAATAGACCGCCTCTCTGACTCTGGCCAATCTGAGCAGGCTTTTTACTAGAACACAGCGGTCGTCTTACATAGATGCGATTGGTCATGGCTCTTCCTCACTACCCTCCCCTTTCACAAGAAGCCTGCCATACTGCAATCCATCTTCCCATTTTGCCTTTTCAACCCAGACTTAGTGCGGCCAGCCAGCTTTCCTCCCTTCCTCAGAAGAGGTGCTGTAGTGCCATTTAAGACTCCTCTCTCCTTGCCCTCCTCCCTCCTCCTCAGGAACCGCACCTGAACCATCGACATCTCGTGAACCCCATCCGAAGAAGCTGCCTTCGAAGCCCTGTCCTGCTGCTGCTTCACTTTTCAGCTCAGCTTCCACGAGGACTTTCAAATAGCTAGGGCCTCCAATTCCACACTGCCTATTTCCTAAGTAACATGTACTTTCGCCCTAGCTAGTATTGCTCAGTGCCTAGAGCATTGGCCTGCAGAACAAAGGGTCCTAGGTTCGATTCTGGTCAAGAGCATGTTCCTTGGTTTTAGGCTCCTCCTTGGTTGGGGTTCATGAAGGAGGCAACCAATTAATGTATTTCACATCAATGTTTCTCTCTGTCTTTCCCTCTCTTCAACATTCCCTAAAAATCAATGGGAAAATATCCTCGGGCAAATATTAACAAAAAAAACAAAAACCTGCACTTTCTGCTGTCATCCACCACTACTCTAGCTCTCTCTCTTTTTTAATTATTACATATGTCTCCTTTTTCTCCCGATTGACCCACCACCATGCCCGCCCCCTAGGACAAACCCCACCACCCCAGTGTCCCTGTCCATTGGTTATGCTAATGTGCATGCATACAAGCCCTTTGGCTGCTTTCTTACCCCCCTACTATAGGTCTTTAGGCGACCAGAAACTACTCTGTGTTGTCACCTTCTCAGTTCTCTTCCTGCAACAGCAAATACTGTTGACAACTCTTTCATGATGCTCCTCCTCCCTTCTCAGCCCTGGGCTCTTCTCTTATCCCTCAACATTCTCCCCAGAGGAACCTGACCCACTTATGTGGTGCTAATTGATACCACAAGCATATAGAAGATCCCTATAAACACTTCTCTTAACTGTTCTGTTGACTTCAATGTAACTCATCTTCTCTCACCCAAACCATCACTGCACTAGATGTCCATATTCTGCCAACATTGCTATCATTCTTTGTCAGGTCAGAAGCCAACCCTGGCCTGTCTCTCCTGTTAAATCGATGAAATGTTATCATTAGACTAATTTCCCCAAAGCCAGCACCTTGAAGATGTCACTTATCATCACATCAAAATAAATGCTTAATTCCTTAGGCTGATGTACAAATCTTTTCATAGTTTGATCCTTGTCAATCTTCTAGCCTCATTTCCTCATCCGAATCCATAACTGTCCTGAAACAAACACTTCATCTCCATTTCTTCCAGGCGTTCTCATCTCGAGCAGTAACATCACCCAGCCCAGAGGTGCTCAAAGCAGCAGCTTGGTGGGAGGACCATCCTTTCTCGCCCCTCTGACAACATACAACGAACCTCATTAAGTTCCCCTCTAAGTGTATTTGCCTCTGTCTCATCATCCCTACCATAAGAACATTTTAGTGAATCTCCTTTCACTTACTCTTGCCCCTCTCCAATTCCTTCATACAGTAGCCTTCTTAATATGTCAAGTAATATTGCACCATTCAATGCTTTAAAACTATGTGTGGCTCCCTATTGTTCTTAGAAGGAACCTACAGCAAGTTCCCTACTCTTCCAGCCTCATGCCACTTGTCCCATGATCATCATGTCGCCTCCTTCCACTTCCTCAAATGTCCTCTGCTCTTTCCAGCAGTTGACCTTCACTGACTACTCTTTGCCTGAAATGCTATCTCCCAATGTTTACATGACCAACTTCTACTCATCCCTCAGGCCTCAGCTTGACTTAATCTTTATGAAGACCTTTCATTATCACCTTTGTGTGTACTTATGAGTTTGCTGGTTTGCTATAACACAGGTGGTGTCTGGCACAGGGCCTGGTACACAGTGGTCTCGATCCATGTTCACAGAGGGGTAATCTATAGATACTGCCTGTCCTGTGGTATCCATGATGGATGGAAACCACCATG